AAGAAAGAGGATAAGAAATGTAATAAAATTAGAGAAAAAATTGTGAAAGTGTGTGAGTAATTTCATGGATATAAATTATAAAAAAAATTAATAAAATTTCGGAAAGTAGGAATATAAAAATATAAAAAATAAATAATAATCATAGTTTTATTTTGAGTAATTAGTTTTTAACAAGTAATTTTATAATTTTTTACACTACTACAAATAAAGTTTTCCACGGTTCAAATTTTGAAAAATAGGAATATAAAAATAAATAATAATCAAAGTTTTATTTTGAGTAATTAGTTTTTAATCACGTAAGTTCAACGTCAATTTCGGAAAGTAGGAATATAAAAATATAAAAAATAAATAATAATCAAAGTTTAATTTTGAGTAATTAGTTTTTAATCACGTCTGTTCAACGTCGAACGACGTTGAAAATATTATTTTTCAAATCAATAATTTTTATTATATTATATTTTTATTAGGTACCCCATCTATTTATATTATATTTTTTAAAAGTTTATTAATTTTTTAAGAGAATTGTCATTGGCAGGATTTGAACCCATTACCTTAGAGTTGGAGGTCGATACTCCAACTACTAATTAAACTACTAAAATTTTCCGATAATAACTTACAAATAAATTATATTTATATACAAATAAATATATATTCGTGTAAATATATAAATATATAAATACAATATTTATATATTTTGATATATTTATATAGTTATATATTTATATGTTGGATGTGAGGGCACGCTCAAAGGTGAAAGTGTGTGTTGAGTGGGTTTTCAAAATTTGATGCTAAATTTGTGAGCAAGTATCTTTATATGAGTTTGTAATTTAATGACGAATATAATCTTTATAATTTTATTTATATAATGATATAAAATAAATTTGGGAAACGCATCATTCGCTCTCAAGTGAAAAATACCAATTTTCGCTCAAGCGTCGCTTGAGCGAGTGAATTTTCGTGAGTTTTAACATATTTTCACTCAAGCGAGAGTCAATCCTACTTACACCCTCGATCGAAAAATACCAATATAATTTATTTGTAAGTTATTATCAAAAAATTATAGTAGTTTAGTGGTTGAGATATTAATTTTCAACTCTAAAATATTGGGTTCAAATGCTGTCGGTGACGATTCTTTAACTTAAATGAATTTTTGGCTGAAAAAAGAATAAAAATATTTTCCAGAAAGTATATACAAATAAATATATATTTACATGAATATATATTTATTTGTATATAAATATAATTTATTTGTAAGTTATTACCAGAAAATTATAATAGTTTAGTGGTTGGAGTATCAATTTTCAATTCTAAAATTCTGGTTCGAATCTTGTCAAAGACAATTTTCAAATTTAAGTGAATTTTTGGGTGAAAAAAATAAAAACAAAAAGATTTTCAACGTTAACGTAGCATATTCAATTTTCAACGTTGGTTCATCCGGAACCAACGTGGAAAGTATTTTCTATGTCATCTCCGGTTCATCCTGGAACCAACGTGGAAAGTATTTTCTATGTCATCTCAAGTAGAATATGTTTAATATTCAATTTTCAACGTTGGTTCATCTGGGAACCAACGTGGAAAGTATTTTCTATGTCATCTCAACTATAACCGACGTTAAATGACAACCTAGAAAACATATTTTTTTTAGCAGTATTAGAGTTGCAATCACTAAAAAACATTGTTTCAAGAGTTCCGTCAAATGATCGTGTTTCAAAATTTAAGATAACAACTAAAACATTCATAATAATATAGGAAAATAAATCACTCAAAGAATTTTCTACCATGTTCTTAAAAAATATTTATGTATTACATATTCTGTATAATTAATTAATAATAGAACAAATTTAGTATAATTAATAATAAAAAGGATACTAATTACATAAAATAAAAGTTGGAGCTAAAAGAGAGTGAATAAGATAGATGTTATTTTAGTAAGAAAACATAGTTATCAAATAAAATGATCACGTGAATTGAAAATTTTATGCGAGCTAAAAGTTGTCCCATTAACTGTGATTTCTACTCTTAATTATTAATTAAAAATTATACTTTATGTTATAACAGTAATAATAATAATAACAATAATATTATTATTATTATTAAACACACTTACATTAAAGTTTGTTTTCTAAGTATAAAAATTCCTTAAACATGGTTTATTTTGATAAATTTAAGTAAAGAAAAAAAAAAAAATGGGATGAGAATGGTAATGTGATAAGTATGATGAGAGGAGTAGTTAGAAAAGGGTGACACAAAAAACGTGTTGAAATTTGAATCTGCTACTAACCCTAATAATTATAGCCCAAACACGTACAATCCGATAAGAATGGGTATCGTGGAAATATTCCGGTGCTATAGATGATAATGACAAAAAGTGTGACAAAAAAATAAAATAACAAATATTTTTATTCGTTTATTAAGAAAGTGATATGAAAAAAAGGGAAAAATGTTTATTTTAAAAAATAATAAATAATTAAATTAAAATATTTTTTAATTAATTGATTTTTGTTATTAAAATAGTTTTTATAGTAATATTTTTAAATCAATATATTATTTTTAATAATATATATTTGTTATATAATTATATTTTTATTATAAAATTAATTTTTTTCTAAAAATATTTAAATTTAAATTAATAAAATAATATATATTATAAATAAATAAATATTTGTTTTTTAATCATTTTAAGTTAATAGTTATATATCTTAGTTAAAAGTGTTATTTTTTTATTTTTAAAAAGAATTTTTTTCTTTTTGCTCGTTTTATTGCGATAATCACTTTCTATTTTATATTTTCCTTCAAAACGAATAGACTTTTATATTTTATTAATAACATGGACTTTAAGTTTTTTTTTTAATAAGTTTGATTACATTTTTATTTGATTTAGAATAATTCTGATTTTATTGTCAGTGAAAATCATTTTTGAAATAAAAAATGTATACGTTAATTTTAATTCTTATTACATACTAAATTAGAGTAATAAAAAATTATATATTATTTTTTAAACAATAAATTATATATTAAAACAAATAATTTAAATAAATTAAAATGTATTTAAAAATTAAATTACTATTCTTTTAATATTTTAGAATTAAAAAAATAATCATTATATAAAACAGACACGTGTCATATAGAGAATGGTTAACAAAATTTGTGTAGAAGTAAAGCGCCGACAAAATATAAGAAAAAATAATAATTTAGAAAAATCATAATATTTTTTATGATGTGGACAGAATCTTTTCAAAAGAGGTGTGGGTATAAATGCGGATAACTTAGGCTCACATGTAAAATGTATAAGATTGTATTTTCAGTAAATTAGATTGAAACATCATAATTTCATAATTGTAACTATATGGACCAACTACTAATGTTTTTTTTCTAGTATTATTATGTTCGGGGTGTATTAATACAATCATGTTTAATATTTTTATAAAATATAATACTAAATTTAATTCAATTATCACTTCTTAGAATTTTTACAATAGAATCAAATCGAGTTTGAAATAAAGAAACCAAATTTTGCAAAAAATAAATAAATAATGTTTTATATTTTTGTTTAAAAGTGTATGATGAATGATTTTTAATAATTGTGAAAAAAATAGTTATGCCTATGATCTAATAATGGAATTAAGGAAGGGCTTCATAAATATATGATATATATATATATATATATATATAACATGGGAAAGAAAAACATTGTGGAAAAGTTGGTGTTTCTCACATTTACACTTTGATTTGATGCATCACCTAATAACGATAATACAAAAGATTTAAACAAATCAAAGGAATTTTGATATACATTGTACATTAAACAGAAGATATTAAGTGAATTATTTTGAATCTAACTATATGAAAAAAAGGGAAAAATTAACAATTAATTTGAAATTTAAATAAATAATATATAAGATGTCATAAAAAAACACGTTTTTTTGGAGTAAAACAAACAGTAACTTTGTTTTTATTTGATAATGTAATATTAATAAGTTTACACTAAAACAAAAAGGCTATTATCTACAAAATATTACCTACCGATAAAAATTCGTAAGTAAATTTTACATTTTGTTGGCATTATCTACAGATATAATCCGTAGGTAAATTACCTATAAAAAAATCCGTAAATAAATTACCTACGACCAAATTACATATGGATTTATGGATTTTCTACTGGAAAGAAATCCGTAGGTAAAATAACATTATCTACAGATTTTTGTCATTACCTACTAATTTTATCCATAGATAATAAACGCTTTTTTAGTGTTAATATAATGAAAATAAGTAAATGTGATAAAAATAAAAACAATAAATATAATCAGTAATTCCACTATCAAGAATCTAGGAAAAAAATGAAGAAAACATTTTACTAAATTATGTAGAAGTATAAGAAGGACGAAAACTGAATAAGACTTTATTTAATAAGACATTATTATTTTTTTAAAATAATATCTATTGTCTCAATTTTTCTGATTAAAAAGATTTTTCTTCTTTGAAATTGAGATTTTGAGAAAGATATGAAATTATATTATTAACATAACACTCTTAATTTTGAATTTTAGAATTATTATACAATAAATATGGTGGACAAGTTGTAGATAATTGTTTGTCTATTTTTTTTAGAAATGATATATGAACTATCATATTGAAAAAAAAATATATTATAAAATGATTTTATGAGAATAAAAATGATTTAGAATTATTATTATATTATTAAATGATGGATGATTGTTTGTTAAAAAAAATAATCAAACTTTTTCTTTCTTCTCTTATAATTACATTGCAAAACAATAAGAATATGATGAAGTAACAAGGAAAAGAATGAGTCATTCTTACCAAAATGAAAAGCTTTAAGATAAATTTTGTGATTAATTGATCCATTTTCATTTTGGCTTGGGAGCATCTTTGAGCCAAAATGATTCTCATAATCATTCATACCATTTGTCTGGACATGGTTTTAGCACTATAAATAGGTTGGTTCTCTTTCTCTTACACTCATCAACTTAAACAAGACAATGGCATCTAAAACACTAGCTTCGATCATTCTTCTCTTATCCCTTTTCACGTTCTCTTCCTCACACCCTGACAATGGTGGCATTGCTGTGTACTGGGGCCAAGACGGTCGAGAAGGCGATCTGACAACAACATGTGACAGTGGAAACTACGCTATTGTGCTTCTCGCTTTTCTCCACAAGTTCGGTGCAGGGAGAACCCCAGAATGGAACTTCGCTGGTCACTGTGACAACGGTGCCATGAAAAAGTGCACTGAACTAGAGTCCGAGATAAAACACTGCCAGGTAGACTCCGATCCAAGAACATCATCCAACACAACACCGACTTACTTTCAAAAAATTATTCTTCCTCCATTTCACAACTTTAGTTGCTTAGTTGTTTTGCAGATTGAACATATCATTTATTCGGGAACAAAAGCATGTTTTTAACTCTTAATGATATTCAACTGATATGAAGATGAATATTGTTGTATAACACTAAAGTAATGATTTGGTGATTTGGTTCCCAGGATAACGGCATCAAAGTGCTCCTTTCAATCGGGGGATCCCCGGACTATTCAAACTACTCCCTGAGCTCGGCGGAGGACGCAAAGAACGTTGCCAACTACCTCTACACCAACTTCCTCAGCGGCCAATTCGGTCCACTGGGAAGCGTCAAGCTCGACGGCATCGACTTCGACATCGAAGTCACGGAGAATCACTGGGACGACCTTGCCAGGGAACTCGACTACTTCCGGCAAACCACGGGGCGTTACTTTTACTTGGCCGCAGCCCCTCAGTGCCCCACAAACCCAATCTACTATCTTGGCAAAGCCATCGCCACCAAACTCTTCGACTACATCTTCGTTCAGTGCTACAATAACCCCGGTTGCTCCTACGTAAGTGGCACCAACGCCCTCTTGAACTCCTGGGACACGTGGGTGGGCTTGGTGGCCTCCAACAACTCGCTCTTCGTGGGTTTGCCGGCATCGACCAGCGCCGGAAACGGTTTCATTCCGGCGGAGGTGATGAACGGTGAGGTTCTTCCGTACGCGAAGACAGCGTCGAACTACGAGGGAGTGATGCTGTGGAACAGATACCACGATGTTCTGAATGGATACAGCGATCAGATTCTCCCCAACGTGATTAAATCCAATTTGCTGATTCGTCTCAACGTAGGTTAGAAAAAATTAGCACCTTTGCACCAACCTAGGCATGTACTATGTACGGAATAAACGACATGTCACACCATCTATGCTTTCCCTTCCCTGAAGTTATCCTCGCAGGTTGCGTGGGTCTTTCGTTGCTACTAATGTAACGGATGCTTATTCGAACGGAATAAAAGTTGTCTAATATTTTGTTTGGATTGAGTAGTGTCTGCTGTAATTTTGATTAATTTCGATTAGGAAATTTTTGTCTTAGACGAAATTCCTACCACGTACGTTCTTTTTACCTAGGCTAGCAATTGATTTTCAATCGAAATGTGCATGAGAATCGAAAATAACACTATATAGAAACTACTAAGATTAATAATCGAATGCACTATTTTTAGTATTTTGTATTTAGAGTACTCGAAATAAGGAAAACAGTAAAGCGACTAATCGGAAAGCAGTGTCGAATGTAAAAACTGCGAAGAAATATTAAATTGCAGAAAATTTAAAGTGTCGAAACCTCAAAATTGCATTACATGTAAATAACAAGGAATCGAAAATTGCAGGATTGTAAATAAGCGAAAATCTAACTTTGCAGGAAAATAGACAACAGGAAATCGAAATTACATAATCGGTAAATGACAAGTGATCGAAAGTACAAAAACTTAAATTGTATTAAGGTAAATGACAAGTAATCGAAATTTGCAGGATTGTAAATAGCAAGAAATCGGGATTACGTTAATGTAAATGACAAGGAACTTAAATGCAGAAACTTAACTTTCATTAAGGGAAATAACAAGGAATCGAAAGTACAGAAACTTAAATTGCTAAACATAAACTGCATCAAAGTAAATTACCATGGAAAGTAAAGAAAGTGGTAAAAGTACTCAATGAGCATGGAAATCCAGATCGCTAGAAATTTCATGATGTTCGTCGTTCTCCGGTAGACTTCTCACTAGTATTTCTGTTCTCTGCCAATTTTCCCCTCCTTTCTTTTCATCTTTCGCTCTATTTATAGATCATCTTTCAAGTAGCCTCTTAGGAGCAGTTAACGAAAACTGATATCACGTTCTTCGTGCACGTTGCAGTTTCTTCTTCTGTGGTGTCAACACTGCACCCACGTTCCCATGATCTTCGACCTCTACCACGATTTAGAAACTGCTTCCTATGTGCGCGTTTAACTCCTTCTCTTTATGATCTGGCCAAGATTTCGATATTTACGCAGGTTAGCCTTCCCCTCAATTTCGATTTTAAAATCTCGAGAACTTTGAATTTGCTTTCGATTCTTCTTAATCTTAACGTCATCTATTATTCCTTCGATTCTTGATTTTAACTCTCGATTTTATATGTCACGCACTTCTAATTGGACATCGAATGGTTTCTCATCCATCTCTTCGATTTATCAATGAATCACCTGTTTCTCGATTTTTCTTTCCTTCGTTTTTCGATCACTTTTCTCAATTTTCTACTAACAAAATGCCCCCTTGAAAGAATATTTCATTCTTTATTATGAATTTTTGATTCACCTCTTCGATTTCTTTTCTTTTCAGTAAATATTCCCATAGTCCAAGTCCAGGACTCCCCTTCACCCGTTTTTGCAGAGCAATCGGACTCTCCTCCTTTTGCAATGCCTGCTGTCGAGTTGCTTTCGGAGACGTTGCCATCGATAAGCGATCCTGCTCCAAGCAATGTGCCGGAATATCGATCTGCCATCGAGGAAGACCCTTTCTCGATTCTCGATATTCTGATGTCTGACGAAGCCACCCCTTCCAGCCACTCTTCCCAACCGCCCATGACCTCGACTAAGGGAGTGTACCAGCTGAAGCAACGTTTCAGGTCCTTCTTCTACTCTTCAGCTCTGGAAGCTTTAGTGGAGTCACGCGAAAGGAAACAACGCTTCCAAGAGATTCTCACTGCGATCGAAGCTCTCCCTGAAGATGCTATTCCGAGGGGTTTCGATATGGAAGTTGCAGCGGCCACTGATTTGTTCAACAAGGCCTATGCTGCACAGAAGAAGAAGCGTTCGATCGCGACCAAGTTATTTGATACTTCTTCTTTCCAGATTGAGAAATCGAAGTTACTGAAGACTCAGAAGCTCAATCTGGAGGAAGCATCAACGACGCTGGCTTCGGTCGATAGTGAGATCGAGGAGTTGGAGAAGAGACTACATCAGCTGAAGTTGCAGAAGGATTTCCTTACATCAGAGATCGATTCGATTAAAACTTCTGCAAAGGACGTGGCGCTATCTCTTGGTCAGAGTATGGAGCGCAAACACAGACTGATCTCCGAGGATAGCTCAATTTCTTCTTCTTGGACACAACTATTAATTGATTTTGATCATCTTAAAACTCAGTACATCTCTTTGTAAACATTATTCTATCCCCATTAATGTTGAATGTTTATTTCTCTCATTCGAGGTTTATATTTCTTCAAGTACTTGCCATTTATCGATAGTACTTTATTTTTGTTATACCAATCGATGATCGAATAAGCGTTACTCGATAATACTTTAATAACCTCAAAAGGCCCTTCCCAATTGGGCGACCATTTACCATAACTTTTACATTTTTTGTCCATCGGTAAAATTGTTTTCCACACTAAGTCGCCTTCGTTAAACGTTTTCTTTCGAACTTTTTTATTGTAAACTCGAGCAATTTGATTCTTTTGTAAAATTATACTATTCAACGCATGCAATCTTATTTCATCGACTTCGTCTAATTCATCATACATCAAGTTCCAATAATCACAACTGGGTAAATCATTCTGTCTCTGTATTCGATTCGATTCAATATTTATTTCGATGGGCAAAACTGCATCATGTCCATAGACCAGCTTGTATGGGGTATTCTGTAAAGAATCTTTAGGCAAATTTCGATAAGCCCATAAAATTTGCAATAACGTTTCGTGCCATGTTCTAGGTCTATTACCAACATGTTTTTTAATTAACCTAATAATTACTTTATTAATTGCTTCAACCTGCCCATTAGCCTGAGCGTAATATGGGGTTGATGTTAATAACTGTATCTTTCTTGATTCAGCATATCTAATTATCTTTCTACCAGTAAAAACTGTCCATTTATCTGTAGTTATGGACTGTGGGATTCCGAATCGATAAACTATGTACTCTTCAATAAAATCGATAACGTCTTGCTGATCGACATCTTTTAACGGTATTGCTTCCACCCATTTCGAGAAATAATCGACAGCGACAATTATATATCTATGTCCCTTCGATGACTGTGGGAAGATCTGTCCGATTAAATCTATAGCCCAACCTCTAAAAGGCCAAGGTTTGATAATCGAGTGTAGTTCGCTAGCAGGGACTTGTTGTATAGGACTAAATTTCTAACATTCTTCACAGGACTTAGCATACTCGATACAATCTTTCAAAATCGAAGGTCAGTAATAGCCTTGTCGAGTTAATGTCCATTTCATCTTCTAGCCTACCATATGGGCACCACATATTCCATTATGTATTTCAGCCATTGCTAAGTAAGCATCATCGTTCCCTAAGCATCTAAGTAATACTCCATCGATTCCTCTTTTATATAACTCATCGTTTAATAAGACGTATTTTACTGCTCGATATTTAATTTTCTTATCAGCTCTCCCATTGGGGTTCTGCAAATAATCTGTAATCGATTTTCTCCAATCTTGGTCATCCAAGTCACTAACGTGTAAAATCTCACTCTCTTGAGGTAATTTTTCTTTAATTTGAATTATTTCCTTCAAATTTTCCAAGGATATCTTATACTTAGATGCAATTTGCGCCAAATCATTGGCTTCTTGATTGAATTATCAAGGAATGTATTCGAATGTTATATCATCGAACATTCTACTTAAAGTTATTACCCTTTCTAGATATCTGATCAAATTGGTGTTAATACATTTATACTCTTTTCGCACTTGTTTGATTACTAATTGCGAATCACCTCTTATAATTACATGTCGAGCTTTTAACTTAATTAAAGTCTCAAGACCTATTATCAAAGCTTCATATTCGGCTTCATTATTCGAACAAATGGGTTGAACCTCAAATGATAACTTAGTCGGGATATTACTTGGAGAAATGATAAGAACTCCTACTCCAGATTTCTCCGATGTACTCGAACCATCGAAATACATTATCCATTTACTTATTTCAATAAACAAGTTCTCAGTATAATCCACTGTATGATCGGCCATGAAATCGGCAATTATTTGTCCTTTTATCGATTTTAAAGATTCAAAGGATAATGAAAATTTTGTCAAAGCCAACACCCATTTTCCTATTCGATTATGCATAATAGGTTTCGACAAAAGAAACTTCAAAATATTATTTCTAGAATAAACCATTACATCATGAGGCTTCATTACATACTTGAGTTTCGTACAAGAGAAATACAAGCATAATCCTAACTTTTCTATATCACTGTATCGAGTCTCAGCATCGTTCAAAATTCTACTTAGATAATACACAGCACATTCCACACCACTCTCGTCTTCTTGTGCTAATAGACTGGCTATTGTTTGCTCCGATGCTGATACATATAGCTTTAATGGCTTGTTTCTCGTTACTGGTATCAAAATCAGAGGATTTATCAGCATCATTTTGATTTGTTTGAAGGCTTCTTGATGTTCCTCCTTCCATTTAAACTCTGCTTCTTTCTTCAACTTTAACAAAGATGAAAAAATATGAGTCTTGCCAGCCAAGTTAGACATAAATCGTCTCAAATAATTTATTTTTCCTAAGAATGACTGTAGTTGTCTCTTAGTTTTTGGAGCAGAAGTATCTATTATAGCCTTTGCTTTATTTTTATCGATCTCAATACCTTTTCCGTGCACTATGAATCCTAAGAATTCACCAGCAGATACACCAAAGGCACATTTCAAAGGATTCATTTTTAATCCATGTTTTCTCATTCTCTCGAAAGATTTTCTCAAATTGCTCAAGTGTTGACACTTTTCTTTTGACACAACAACAATATCATCTATGTAAATTTGCATAAAATCATTGATCAAATCATGGAAAATTAAATTCATTGCTCTTTGAT